GGAGGACATTATACTAGAGATTTCTATTATATCAATCTACCCTTGTTTAATTCCTATTGAAGCATACACTCGGGAGGGGGTAGTGCAAGGTGGACAATTTGAAAGCATACTCGAGAAAAATGTTCTAATTCGATGAACTAGTGGGTAACATTCACGAACAAAAAGGGTATAATAGGAAAGTATTAAAATATAAAATAATTAAGATTTAAAGTGAAATTTGGATTAGATAAAAAAAAAAAAAGATAGAAGAGTCTTACCTAACACTATGTTATAATAGAGTACAAGATTCTAATACATAGTATGCTTCAAAAGTCAAATTATATAATTTGAACAAAGATATTATTGTTAGCAACTTACATACTTACATCATCATGATCACTCAATACAAACAAAATAAGAGTATTATTATTATTGTATTTATGACATTTAATTAAAATTTACAAATTTAATATATATTTTAAAAAATTACTAAATAATAAAAATATTAATTATGAAATTAAAAAAATAAAATAAATGTATATATAATTGTATAATAAGCAAAATTATATATTTTAAAATCAATGATAAATTCGAGTTGGTTCGGGTGAACGTCATCTAGTTTCAAGGAAACCCGTGAACCAAGTCAATTGATAAAATTTTCATTTATTTGAACCATATTAAATCATTCGAGATAGATTGGTTGTTTAAATTAATCGAACTTTTCAAAGCATCAAATTTTTTCAACAATTATATTACATTATAAAATCTAAAATATATGAATATTTAATAAATGTAAATATATTTTTAGTTAATAAAGCCGAGTTATCGTAAATATTTTACCATAATAGAGAATATTTGCTAAAACCACCCATCTAAACGGGAAAAGTTCTATATTTATAATCAAATAAATTATAAGAATATGGAAATAATAATAAATAAAAAGATATATAATAATGAGAACTTATAATAAAATATATATGATAAATATTAATTTAGTACTAAATATTTAGTTAATAAACATTCAATTTAAAATTATTTTTTAATTTATTTTATCATAAAACAACTTTATTACAATATCCATTAATTTATTTAATTATTTATTTCAAAGCACTAAAGATGCATTAAATGAACATGTCGTACCAATAATAACAATATTGGTTATGGTTGGAACTAAAATAAAAGCATAATCTAAAATTTATAATTATTTTTAAATTAAAAAACTAAAAGATTGATTAAACACATAATTTAAATATTTTATTAGAAGCTTTTGCAATAGAAAATAGAAAAAAAAAAAAAACAATAAAATTATTTAAATAATTTAAAAGATAATGCAAATAAATAATTTCATCACCCCATTAATTAAGACAGCACAAAGTCCACCTTGGATTTAAAATATTGATAAGTTTATTTTAAATATGAATTTTTTAAAATGCATTTCCATTTGTAGCCACGTGGCGATCACAAAATAATTTAGATCATAAAAACATTAATTTATTATTCCAATCAAACAAAATTTTAAATAGATATTATGAGGAAATTAAAATAAGAATTAAATATTCAAAATATAATCTAAAAATATTTTTTTGCTATTTTTATTGAAATATTTTATAATGCAATGTTTTTAATTTATGGGCAACAAAATCTTTGTGGTTCTAATTTAATTAAATTTTAAAAGAATTAATGAGAAGACATGCTATATTAAATTAATGTAATAAGAATAATAATGTATTTTTATATATTTTAAATAATGATAAACACATTTTAATTTATTAATATTTTTTAAAATTATTTAATAAAAGTTATCTTATTAACAAAAGAAAATTTCCAGACTAATTCTGATACTATTGGTAACAACAGAAGTTCACTCTACTTCGACTAGATGTAGAGGGCCCACCCTACTCCGATTAGTGCATCCCTCCGTCCGATGACTAGCTCTGATCCCATTTATAACAGCTCAAACCCACCCTACTCTGATTCTATGGAGATGGTCTAGCCCTACTTTGACCAGTTCATTGTAATGTTCGGTGACTGGGTCTGATACCATTTGTAACCGCCAAAGTTCACCACTAACAAATATTGTCCTATTTGAACTTTCCCTTTTGAGCTTCCCCTCAAATTTTTTAAAACACGTCTATTAGTGAGATGTTTTCACACCCTTGTAAAAAAATGTTTCGTTCTCTTCTTCATCCGATGTGAAATCTTACCCTAAACAAGAAAATTAACCATAGAGGTAATATAATGTTTCGTTCTCCTCTTCATCGAATGTGAAATCTTACCCTAAACAAGAAAATTAACCATAGAGGTAATATTTACGAGCTTGGTTAAAAATAAATAAATATAAAAAATAGTTATCAAATGAGACCGAATATAAATAAACTATTTAAACAATTAATGTAACGACCCAGATCCACCGCTAACAAATATTGTCCTTTTTGGACTTTCCCTTTCGGCTTCCCCTCAAAGCTAGGGGAAGGTTTCCACACCCTTATAAACGGTGGTTTGTTCTTCTCCCAACCAATATAGAACATCACAATTAAGTATCGATATAAAATAAACATGATAGACAGAAGAATATAATATATTCATAATCAAAGTTAGCAAAGCATAATATTAATAAAATAAAATAAAAACATTTGTTCATTCAAACACTCATTCGAAAGTGGGAGCAGAGTTTGAAAATAAAACCAACTTTCGCATAAAATAGGCATTAGGTATTATTTTGAAAGCGAATAGCATTGTCTCAATTCATTTAAATTTCTTATCAAAACGATTCGTTTCAAACCATTTATTTTCCTTCCTTGCTTGCTAATTAATTCATTATTATATTTATATAAAAAAAAATTTGTTCGTTAATTAATTTAACGGTGATATATTTTAGAAATAATTTAACAGGAATTTTTTCATTGTTAATTTAATTGTACTCTAATCGTATAGCATTGAACTGCAATGAGCAATATGATCTTATACCATATGTGCTGTCGTATAAGACTATGTAATGACCAACGCGATTTCGTTGCATAATCATATATTATCATAAAAATCGTTGGTATGATATTTTTAAAGCTAAATTAATAAAAATACTCTTAAACTTTGCATTTCGTCTAAAAAATACTTAATTTTGGATGAAAATCGGTAATATTTTGTTTTAAAAATACCCTTTTGAAATTTTCTTTAAAACCTTTTAAAAAAAATATATTTACGGTTAGTACTACGTCAAGATTTGTGACATTCAGATGTTTGTAGATAATCTATGATAGGTCAATAAACAGTTTTGTCCATATACTGATGGTAAAAAATGAATTTTTTTTTTAAACACAGCAACCGTAAATATATTATTAATTAAAAAGTATTAATTAAAGATAAAGGTTATTCAATTTTTTAAAAATAAATTATTAATATTTCCATCCAAAGTATATTATTTATATATTTTAAATTTAAAAATATTATTAAAATTTTGGAAAGTTGATGTGTTTTTATTAATTTAGTCCCTTTCTAAAATTATTTTTATTAATTTAGTCTATTTTTAAAATTATTTTTATTAATTAGATGTATGACATATTTATCTAATTTTAAATCTAAATGACATATATTATGGAATAATAAATTAATTTAAAATATGCTTCCGTTGCATAATTAAATTAAAATTTAGCAAAATTAATCGAAATATTTGATATTTTTAAAATTTGAAGTCAATTTAAATTAAAAATTAAAAATCTTTTTTCTTGTAGCTGCAACCTTCACGGACTGTCGGAGTTGCGTCGATTGAATGGGACAACAAACGCCGCTTGGAACTCTTGAGCAGCTGCCGGTACGCGGTGGCTGTGGAGTGAGCCGCCGGCCCGAAATTGTGGGCCTTAGCCCAAACCGCTTCTTCACGTTCAATCAATGTCACGTGTCGCGGTCGTAGTTATCTAAGGTGTTGTCTGTGGCTATGTGTTGGATGTTCCGATTATACTTGTCAAAGACGTGTTATTCATAATTATGTCTGTTCTTGATTTCATGTATAGTTAGGTCTATACTATTCATATCTCGTCAATATGCGAATGTACGACTATTCACTAAAATCATGTCTACACCGATCGTAACTAAAATAACTAAAATGCCTCGAACATTGTTTTATTTCAAATTGGGGTTGTTTTTTATTTACTTTTAGCCTAAACGTATTGCTTTATTTCAAACGGTTTTGGACGCATTTTTCTCGCTCACGTTTTCTAAAACACTTTCTGTCAAACGTGACTCATGGCTAAATCATAAGTTTGAATTGTTTGCAAAATTTGATTTTCACATAGCTGATGTGAGATCTTACGTCGATTGGAAAAATGAATGAACCATTTCTTATAAGGGTGTGGAAATCTCTCCCTAGTAGACGCGTTTCCAAATTGTGAGGCTAACGACGCTTCGTAACGGGCAAAAATGGAGAATATCTACTAGTTGTGAGCTTGGACTGTTACAAATGATATCAGAGTCAGACATTGAGCGATGTGTCAGCGATGACACTGGACCCCCAAGGGGTGGATTGTGAGATCCCACATCAGTTGGAAAGAGGAACGAAACATTCGTTATAAGGGTGTAGAGATCACTCTCTAATAAACACGTTTTAAAACCGTTAGGCTAACAACGATACGTAACGGGTCAAAACAGACCATATCTGCTAGTAGTGAGCTTAGGCTGTAATAAATCATATCAGAACCAGATCAGTAGTGAGCTTAGGCGGTAATAAATGATATCAGAACCAGATATAGGGCGGTGTGTTAGTGAAGACGCTAGACCTCAAAAGGGTGAATTGTGAGATCTCACATCGATTAGAGAGGGGAACGGAACATTCGTTATAAGGGTGTAGAAATATCTCTCTAATAAACATGTTTTAAAATCATGAGATTGATAGCGATAAGTAACGAGCCAAAACGGACAATATCGAGCTACTTTCTAAATTGATACAACAAGGTGAGCTAAAAGCAGTCAGCTTTGTCGGTCTTAACAAACATAAAACAAGAATTATCCAATTTGACCCCACAAAGAACTAATGTCACCAAACATTCAATGATCCATTCAGCCCTTTCCAAAAAACAACACAGATAAACCACATTGCTCCAAAAACATGATAGCTAAGCTCATTGGGTCAATGCTTCTCTGTCCCCCATTTCCACACACACTAACCTCCATGGCTCCAACCAACCTAACCATCAATCCTAAACGACCCCCGGGTTAGCTTTCTTTCGACCGCAGTTCGGCTCGAAAAAGATTCAGCCAATGAACCGGTTGGAACGAAGCTTAGGGAATCAACATTGGTGACTTCCCTTCAAAGAATGACTAAAATTTGCCTTTCGTTTTCTCGTTGTCTCTGCATCGACGCATTCGCTATCGAGTCTTTGCCCCCATGATGTGCTATATTCATTGACCACCATTGGGGAACAATCATCAGATTTGGTTTCCTCTAGTGAACTCCTCGAACCAACTTTAAGCTCGGGATATCTCGAGCTCAAAGCTAAGAAGGGGCGGCCTAACCGCAGCGCTAGATCACAATCATCCTCACATTGGTTCCCAATTGCTGCAGCCATTGTATCAAAGCCACTAGTTTTCTCCATAACACCTCCATTTCTAGAGTCCACACACATAGAAATCGGTTCACGAGCAATTTCGAAGCTAGAACGCTGTCGTTTCCAGCGAACATCATCGTTATAACACAACGGATAGACCGAGAACCTGCTTGATGGCAGAGCATTGGCCATAGGTTTAACCAAACTCCAAAAATAAGGAGCACAGCTTGAATTCTTCATTACAATGGGAGGAGGAGACAACTCATGATGCCTAGAACTGAGATAGTTTGTGGAGTTCTTATGTCTTTGGCTTCTAGAAGCTTTTCTAGGAGTGCAGCCTAAATTAAGAGCAGCTGAAAGGGAAACAAAATTCAACACAAAAACCCCCAAAAAAGTGGATTCAATAAGCAAGTTTTGTAGCTACCTTCAATGCAAGGCTGAAGAAACTCTCCAGATTCTGTGGTATCATCAAGGCGTAATATGGTATTAACAGCATCCACTAAGCGGTCCCGAAGGGTATTAAACTCAATGTATTCAGCCTATCATGAACAAACGAAATGATATCAAGTTTAAACAGATCATAGCTATGAACTAGTGAGATTAAAGGTGAAAACCTCAGAAATGGCTTTGGAGTATAAGATTTCTTCAGCTTTGAGAACAACAACAGGAAGAATTTCTTGCCATTCTTTGTTTTTTTTAGTGGAGGAGCTATGAATCTGATGCATAACCCTAACAGAACAAACGACAAGACAAATCAAGAACAACCCAACAGAGATTCAAACAAAAATGATGAACAAAAACAGAGGGCCAGACCTGAAAATCTCTTGAATGAGAGAGCCTCTGATGGGTTGGTGCCTGTCACTGTGCCAAGCTCTTCGCACACACTCATAAGGCCTCGGGCCTGGTCTTGGCATCTTCAAGACAAGGAGAGTTTAGCTCAGCTCAGCTCAGCTATGGGGTTTTTCAGTGAAAAAAATCCCTTGAAGACAACAAAATGTTTGGAATTCCAAGATTCAAGGAAGAAGAAGGTGCTGGTCTTGTTCTTCAACAGTGTGGTGTGTTGGTGTGTTGAAAGACTCAATTATTTGACAGAGGGTATTACCTAGCCCCATGAGCCCTGACCATTCATGTAGCCCTGGGGGAACTCTCATAATATCGTCACCGTCGGTGGCCCAAACTAACCCCAACCTCAAATGCCTCAAATGCCCACCAGACAAGACTCAACACTCGGTGTCTTACGAATCACGAATTTCCATAATGGTACGATATTGTCCACTTTAGAAGGCCTCGTCCAAATGAATATGTATTCCTTATTTATAAACTCATGATCCTTCCATTCTCCTTCCTAACCATCTTTTAAAGTTTTAAAATTTATGTTTGGATAAGGATGGAAATGTGCAAAAGTTTAATGGGTAGGGACTAAAAATCATTTTTTTTTCTTCCAAATCACTTGCAATGGCCAAGATCAGTCCTCTCCCAAATTCGCTAACCCCAAAAAGCAATCATTTTTATCAACATTGGGTCCCAAACAGAAATCGTTCATGCAACTCCGACAAATGTTACGAGGGTCTATTGTTGTGGTACCTTTATTGATATGGTGTATTTATCTAATTTAAGCACACTGCTAATAGATATTGTCTGTTTTGTCTTGTTATATAGTCGTTGACCTCATGATTTTTTAAAACGCTTATGATAGAGAGGTTTCCACACTCTTATAAGGAATGTTTCATTCTCCACTCCAACCAACTAACGTGTGATCTCCCAATTCATTCCTTTGTGGGTCCAGCGTATTTGCTGCCGCACCGCTCAGTGTCTGGCTCTCCAACGAATGTGAGATCTCACAATTCACTTCATTGGGAACTAGCATATTCGCTGCCACGCCGCTCAGTGGTTGGTTCTGAAACTATCTGTAACAGTACAAAGCTTATCTTATCGAATCAAAATTATTAATTTTATTGTTAATTCAAATTAAAAAAGAATCATTGAATAATGTTTATCATAGTCCAAAGGTAACATTAAAAGTGGGAATTAGGAATCTTTAAAATTAATAAACCCATGAAATTTGGAGCTTATAATATAAGGGAAAATGTGAAAATAATTATATAGTAAATAGAACAACATAAGGTGGGTCCCATGACACAATGAGAAATAATTCAGTGTGGTAAAACACAACGCAGAACAACTTTTCAACCAATCATTCATCCCCATCACATTCGAACCCGACCCATTCTCATCCGTCAGATCAGTTCTCCTGCATGATTGCCACGTGGGCTCCACCACTCAAAAACCAAACAAGTATTTCTTTTTCTTTTTTTTTCTTTTTTGGTTTGAATTTTATTGCTTTAAATCGGTAATTGATTTGGATTGATAATCCCTTCAATCCTAGCCGTCCATTTTGCAACTTGATTATCCTCGTTTCCAATTCCAACTGCTCCACCGCTCCACCAAATCCGTCGCTTTTATCTTTATCAGTCGCCGGCGCAGTCAGTCTGCAACAAGCCGCCATGATGTCCGCCGCGAGCCCACTTTCTCTGATCTGTGCTCTGCTTCTTTGCTTGCCTTTAGCCGTTCTCTTTACCGTTAACAGCCCCACCGCCATTAATTCCGTCCAAAATTCCGACCACCCTTTCATTTTCCCTTTGCAGTCACTTTACATGCCTAAGACCCACCGCAAAATTACCCTCTTCCAAATCCCTTCTCCGCCGCCTTCGCCGCCGCCAGAGGAGGATGATTTGTTGTTCCCACTTGCCTCCCGGGTCGACCCGACCCCATCACCAACCCGGAAATTGGCTTTCATGTTTCTCACGAATTCCCCTCTCCCTTTTGCTCCTCTTTGGGAACTGTTCTTCAAAAACATCCCCCCGGATCTTTACAATGTTTACATCCACGCTGACCCGACCCGAGAATATGACCCGCCTTTCTCCGGCGTGTTTTCCCACCGTGTCATCCCGTCGAAACCCACTCAGAGATTCACCCCTTCTCTAACCGCCGCCGCCCGCCGCCTTCTCGCCCACGCGCTGCTGCATGATTCTTCTAATTCCATGTTTGCCCTTCTCTCCCCCTCTTGCATCCCTCTTCATTCCTTCAATTTCACTTACAAAACGCTAATCCACTCCAAGAAGAGCTTCATCGAGGTTCTCAAAAATGAAATCGGTGCCTACGACAGATGGGCGGCGCGTGGTCCCGACGCGATGCTTCCCGTTGTTAAATTGGAGGATTTACGAATTGGGTCACAGTTTTGGGTCCTCACGCGTCGGCACGCGCGGACTGTAGTGAGAGATAAGAAAGTTTGGTCAAAGTTTGACTTACCATGCGTGCGGTGGGACACGTGTTATCCAGAGGAGAATTATTTCCCCACCTTACTCAGCATGTGGGACCACCGAGGACTTATTCCAGCTACACTAACACACGTGGACTGGAATGGGAGTTTCGATGGCCACCCTCGCACGTACGACAAATCTGACGTCACACCCAATCTCATACGTTCTCTGAGAATGTCCCGCCTCAGATACGGCGACGGCGACGGCGCCGGCGGCATTGAAATGAGAATCAGAACGAGAACTAAAACCTCCGGCCGCCGTAGTTCGTCGTCTTCCTCCGCCGCTAAACATTACCGCCGGCATACGTTCCTCTTTGCTAGGAAATTCTCCGCCGATACGCTCCAGCCGTTGATGAACATATCCAGCGACGTCATCTTTAAAGATTGATGAAAATATATACACAAAATTATGTTTTTTTTTTTTTTTTTTTTTTTTTTTTTTGGTCTTTTTAAGGATAATTCGGGACAAACAAACCCAATGTTTTTTTTAGATCGAGCTTTTTCAAGACCTGTCGTGAGTGAGCGTGTCAAAATTAAGATAGTGTAGAGTTGAAAATAGACGACTTGTTTATAAATATGAACTATGGTATTGAGGGTACTAATGTAACTTTTAAAAATTAAAATATTTTAAACGAGGTACATATGTTTTATGTCTATAACGATACTTATGTTTCAAGTCATCCCATCCTGAAGTTTGGTCCACCATTTTGGTTACGTGCTATGATGTTATCGGACGGTGGTTCTCCGCCGTCTATGGCGGGTGAGTTAGCTGGTCAAGGACCTTCTTCCTCCATGACCCAATTGGTGGCCACCCGACTCTGTGGTTCTTCTCTTCATCTCTTCTGTATCATAAGACTTTTAATGTGAATATTTGAGTATAATAGAATGTCAAATATGGTATCTATGGACTCACATTTGAAAGGTGCAAGAGCGTGTCTCTCGTGGACGGTCAGGATCGTCTTCGTCCTTAGGCTTATCATTCCATGATAGCAAAGGCGAAGCGTTGGGCAGCTCGTTTGTGACGTGTGGATGTTTGATGCAGTTTGTGGGAGCGCCATGGAGGGGGTGGTGGTGAAGGGGAAGAGATAGGCCAAGTTGAAGCTCCATTTTTGAATTGAGTTAAAAGGTAAAGAAGAAATGGGGAGGCATTTATGGAAGCAGCGAGATGGGGATGAGTCGGGAAAAGGGGTGGCATTGAGAGGGACACAAAGAAGGAAGATGAGGATAGAGATGGAGTGGGCGTGTGGGTTGGACCTCCATGTCCCTCTTCTCTCACCTCTTTCTTTTTGTTAGGTCGAGTAATTATTCATATCGAATCGATACAAAATTTAACTAAATAACTGTAACGACTCAGGCCCATCGCTAGTCGATATGGGCTTTCCACTCCCGGCTTGTTCTCCTCACCAACCAATGTGGGATATCACAATCCACCTCCTTCGGAGCCCAGCATCCTCGCTATCACTCGTTCCTTTCTCCAATTCAACGTGGGACCCTACCAAATCCACCCCTTTGGGGCCCAGAGTCCTTACTGGCACACTGCCTCATGCCTACTCCCCTCGGGGAACAGCGAGAAAGCTGACACATATTGTCCCATTTGTAACAACTCAGGCTCACCACTAGCAGATATTGTTCTTTCCCTTTTGGGCTTCTCCTCAAGGCTTTAAAACACGTTTGCTAGGGGAAGGTTTCCACTCTTTTATAAAGGGTCTTTTGTTCTCCTCCCCAACCAATGTGGGACATCACAATAACTGATGTTCGGAATGCTTTTCAACCATTTTCACTCTTTTAAGTTATGTAACTAGTTGAGCAGCAGGTTCACGTGACAAAAATAAAAGAGAATCGTATAATGAAATCGATAAAATGTAACAAGAAATTAAAGAGCGATATGTGACAAAAATAAAAGAATGTGTCAATGAGATATAATATAATGTAACTAAATAAGGGATATTGTGATAGAGGGGTCACATGAGGGCGGGGAAAAGAGACCTAAGCTTGTGAAGTCCACGTGGGCACCATAGGGGTTGGGGCATTGGGTGATTTAGGAGGGTAGGTGGCTTTGGACTTTCAATTGGAGAGATAGTGGACCCCACGGACACCTGTATTATTGTCATTTGGGCCTACCTTCCCCGTCCATATTCATCACTTGGGCCTTGGCCCATAACTTCTCTCTCGATTATAAATATGTCCGCACGTGAGTTCGGCATGCGCAAGTTTTTTTCGGTTTTTCCATGTCGGCCATAATTGATTGGGGTGGGAAAGAAAAAAGGCCGTAATTGACTTGGGCCCACATTGATTTGGGCCGAAATTAATTGGGCTGGTAAAGAAAAAGCCCATATCTCGCAGAAGCTCAAGAAAGAAAAGCCCGGCCCAGTCCACTCCATTCCACAGGCACGCGCACATCACGTGAGAAAAGATCCCAATCTCTTGGCCAAGGAAAGGCGGAAGCGAGCAGAGCCTTATCAAATTGTGTGGCGAAGAATGCAGAGTGCATAATGTAGATAACCCTAATCTCCACCTCATTTCGTTTCTCAATCACTCACCAGATCCGCCATTACCGTTCACTCGAAGCTCCAAAGCTCCAAAGCTCCAAAGCTCCAAAGCTCGACGCAGCCATGGCGAATGTAATAATGGCCTCCTCCAAACCCCTCTCCCCGCCCCCTTCCATCGCCTCCACCAAAACCCCCAAATTCTCCATTCCCAAAACCCTAACCCTAACCCTAACCCCCACGATTCTCAAAAACCCCCAATTCGTCTCCCTCTCCACCACCACTCTC